AAATGCCTCTGGCAGCACCTGGGAAGATTGTAGGACTTCTAAGTGTCTGCCTCTTGTCCAAGAGAAGAGGAGGAAGAGAACTTATAAGAGTTGAAAATGGAATAATTATGTATGATCTAAAAATATCTTCTCTTGCTCTTTTCTAGCTAACTACTTAGGTTCAACCTAGTTTAAGAAACAATGCCTAGAAGAAATAAATGCTTACAAAAGATCCCCATCAGTCGGTGGCATGCAGATAGCGCTTGTCTTCCCTTCAGGGCTGGACACCTGACCGCCATGGAGGTGGCCACACAGCGTCTCTTCAGGGATGTGGAGTGTGGAGACCTTCCGATGCTTCAGAGGGAGGACATGAGTGGAGAAGTTCTTTGCATGTGTTTCTAGAGCTAGAGTTGGTGTCCTGTTTTTTGTGGAAAGGATAGGGTTTAAAAATCTGAACCTTTTCTTCCCCGTTCTTCAGATTATTGTTATAAAAATACTATGGATCCTCATTCATTTCTTTCAGCTTCCAGTGAGAGAAATTAGACTAAAACCTTGAATTTTTTTTTAAAAAAAGGAGTTTTGGCTTCAGGGTGAAGACTAAACTGGGCCTTGCTTTTAGATACTCCTGAATTCGAGGGTTAGTGCTGTCAGTTCTCTGCATCTGTAGTTTCCCTCAGTCGGCCTCTGTCTCAGGTTAGCACTTTCCCATGGTGGTTGTGGCTTAAAGCTTACACCTTTCTTACTGCAATGGGAATTCCAGAGAATACTGACTCTTTTCCCCTAGACCAGTGGTTCTCAAATGGGTGACTTTGTCCAGAGAAAATTTTGGTGGTTACTTTAGGGAGATGCTCTGGTTTCTAGTGGGCAGAGGCCAGTGATGCTGCCAAACACCCTGCAGTGCACAGGACATGTCCCCTACAGCAGAGAATGATCCAGCCCAAAATGTTCGTAGTGCTGAGGTTGAGAAACTGCCTTAGAGATATGGAGACCGTGTAATCTAAACCCAGATACTCTTGAGAAGTACAGTTATGCTAAGACAACAGCCATGAACTGGAATTGCTACAAGTATACCTGGACCTGTGGTTGCTCTACATAAAGGCCCTATCAGTCCTGGGTCACTCGCCCAGCATAGACCAATCACTGTGATGTGGTGGATATTGTGCTTTGGCCAGCCTGAATCATGTGCCTACCAGTCGGGTGAAGAAGTGGGCAGCAAGTGATTGCTTGGACAGAATGCCACAGCTCACAACAAAGGGTATAGAAACTAGAAAGAGAAAAAAAAAAAAGCTGATGTCCTGTACCAAGTTTTAGTTGTACAAAATAGTTAAGATCTGGAGAGCTGTACAATATAGAGCATATGATTAACAATACTGTGTACTTAAAATTTTCCTAAGAGGGTAGATCTTATATTAAGTAGTCTTTCCACAAAAGGGAAAACAAAACAAAAAGACAAAATGATACAGGGGGTGGGAGGAAACTTTCAGATGTTATGGCCTTGATAGTGATGGTGGTTTGATGGTTTCACAGGTGTATGCTTATCTCCAAACACATCAAGTTATGTACATTAAATGCACCAAAAGTGCTGGATAGACTGGGCACTGTGTCTCAGGCCTGAAATACCAGCAGTTTGGGAGGCTGAGGCAGGAGGATTGCTTAAGGTTAGGAGTTCGAGACAAGCCTGGGCAACATAGTGAGACCCTATTTCTAAAAACAGGGTTGGGGGCGTGGTGGCACACACCTGTAGTCCTCGCTATCGCTACTTGGGAGGCTGAGGTGGGAGGATTGCTTAAGCCTGGGAGATGATGCTGCAGTGAGCTGTGATCACGCCACTGTACTCCATCCTGGGCAACCCAGTGAGACCTTGTGTCTTAAAAAAAGAAAGCTGATGTCCTATGTGTAAGAGAACTTTTACTTTTGAAACTCACTTTATTACACCTGTTTTGATCTGGGCCTAGGGACTGCACGTGGCAAAACAAATGAGGACTATATAAAGACAGTGGAAATAAGTATGCCTTCTATTTTTTCCCATTGCTTGGTTGATTAATTTTAACCATAATAGAGGAGGTGAGAGAGATGAAATTGGCGAGAGGGTGGAAATGAAGACTGTGATCCCTGTAGCTTGCCTGGATACAAGGACAAAGTTGTTGGCACAGTGAGGTATCTATGCCTTACAATATGAACCCCTGACCAGAGGAAAAAATTTAGATTAAAAGTGCTCCTGTCTATTTTTGGAGAAACAAAACATTGTTAAGAAAAACTAATTTTTGTGGGTATAATTCATCCAGCAGAGTGGATTGAATAATTTTACATTCTTTTTCCCTTTAAACAAAGAAACGTTTCTTGAATGAAAATTAGACGTATGTGTTTTCTAATTTTGTATGTTCTTGATTTAATTTTAAATTTGAAGTCAATTGAGAAATCCTATAAGCATCTAGAAAAGTTCTGTAAATTATTTTTTTCTGAAACTGTATTATGGTCTCTGGAAATATTTTCCTTCTTTCCAGTTTATTGTGTATGCAGGATAAAATCCAAAGTAAGGATTTGACAGTAGGTAGCTATTTGCACTATTTTCTGTTCATTGCAATTAGAGTACTGAGATGATCAAATTAAATATTTTTTATGTAAACTCTGAAATCTTTTAGAATCGACTGTTGTGGCTTAATTGATACTGTCTAAAAGGCTTGAATGGCTATGCAAATTAACCTGTTGATGAACAGCCATGTATCCAGAAACAGGATGTATCACTTAACCACAGCGAACAGTGTTTTGTTTGCAATAAGATGGTTGAGTGCCTTTTGGCAGTGTTTACCTGAGTGTGGCAGGACTGATTTATCTTGACAAGCAAAGAACAAAAAGACTTTTAAAAAGTGCTGCTTTGTCCAGAAATCAGAGGCAGCTTTGTAAAGACCTTTGTATTTTTTGACCTTAAAATTTTCATTCCAAAAGCTTTAAAGCTGAAAGTATAGTTTTGAATCAACACAGTTCTTCGGTTTAATCTATGCAGTGAGAACAAAATGGAAAGGAGTGGAGAGGGAGTTGGTACCATGGTGGAAGTGAACGCATCAGGGAGCGTTTGGCCCTTGGAAGGTGTTGGAGGGTCACCTAGAATGAAGGGAGGTGTTTACTTTCTTCCTGACTGTGGCGTCAGTTTAATGAATACACATCAGAAGTCAGAGTGTACATTAGGAAAAAAGAATGGAACGGAATTAATACATAATTCAGCTTTGTGTGTGTGCATTGTGTTTGTGTGTACGTAATCTAATCGTAGTTTACATATAACTAAATTAAAAGGGATTGGTGATTTCTTTAAAGGGAATAGTCATCACCCAACCTATTTGTTTTGTGTGCATTAATATCCATTTTTATATGTTGGATTTGCTTAAATGGAAGTACATGTAAAATACCTTTTTTTTTTTTTTTTTCCAAGATGTGGTCTCACTATGTAACCCTTGCTGGAGTGCAGTGGCGTGATCTCGGCTCGCTGCAACCTCTGCCTCCTGGATTCAAGTGATTCTCCTGCTTCAGCCTCCTGAGTAGCTGGGACTACAGTCACGCACCACCACACCTGGCTAATTTTTGTATTTTTTAGCAGAGACAGGGTTTCACCATATTGGCCAGGCTGGCATCAAATTCCTGACCTCATGATCCGCCCACCTCAGCCTCCCAAAGTGCTGGGGTTACAGGTGTGAGCCACTGGCGCCCGGCCATAAAATATCTTCAATTTAAAACAACAGTGAGCTTTGGTGGTTTCATTGTGGGCAGATCACTTGTGGTCGGGAGTTCGAGACCAGCCTGATCAACATGGTGAAACCCCATCTCTACTAAAAAGCGTAAAAATTAGCCAGGTATGATGGTGCATGCCTATAGTCCCATCTACTTGGGAGGCTGAGGCAGGAGAATCTGTTGAACCTGGGAGGCAGAGGTTGCAGTGAGCCGAGATCTGGCCACTGCACTCCAGCTTGGGCAACTGAGTGAGACAGCGCCTCAAAACCAAAAATAAAAAAAAAAAGCAATGAACAGATCACTATTGTTTTAGATTAGAGATGTTAGATTTTAATTGGTCTGATAATCTATAAGTTTTGCTATTGTTAAACATTATCTGAGATGTACTAAAACAGGTTTACTGGAATTAGTGATAATAATGGTGGTGATTGTAGAAGGAGTAGATAATAGTTTTTTTTTTTTTTCTTTTTTTTTTTTTTTGAGACAGAGTCTTGCTCTTTCACCCAGACTGGAGTGCAGTGGCACGATCTTGGCTCACTGCACCTCCCTTATAGGTTCAAGTGATTCTCCTATCTCAGCCTTCTGAGTAGCTGGGATTACAGGCACATGCCACCACACCGGGCCAGTATTTTGTATTTTTAGTAGAGATTGGGGGGGGGGGGGTTTACCATGTTGGCCAGGCTGGTCTCGAACTCTTGGCCTCAGGTGATCTGCCTACCTCTGACTCCCCAAAGTAGTGGGATTACAGGTGTGAGCCACTGCACCTGGCTTTTTTTTTTTTTTGCCTTTTTTGGAGCACTTGATGTGTTTCAGAAACTGTGCTAAGTGTTTTCACAGGAGTTACCATTTCTCACAGCAATCCTCTGATAGTTAATCTTGTAATAATTGCCATTTTGCAATTTAAGAACGTGGGTTTAGAGAGGTTGACATTTGTCCAAGGGTACTCACCCAGGAAGCTGAGGCTCCTGCACGGTATACACTCTCTGAAGCCTCTAGTTTTTTTGTTTTTTTTTTTTTTTTTTTTTGAGATGGAGTCTTACTCTGAACCCCCAGAATGAAATCTCTCTACATCAAATTTAAATACAGTGGCGTGATTTTTTTTTTTTTTTTTTTTGAGATGGAGTCTTACTCTGCCGTCAGGTTGGAGTACAGTGGCGTGATCTTGGCTCACTGCCACCTCTGACTCCCAGGTTCAAGCAATTCTTCTGCCTCAGCCTCCTGAGTAGCTGGGACTACAGGTGTGTGCCACCACGCCCAGCTAATTTTGTATTTTTAGTAGAGATGGGGTTTCACCATGGTGGCCGGGATGGTCTGGATCTCCTAACCTAGTGATCTGCCTGCCTTGGCCTACCAAACTGCTGGAACTACGGGCATAAGCCACCATGCCAAGCCAAGCCTTTAGTATTATAGAAGAGCATGTATGATACAGTATTTCACAGATCTGATTTGGGATATTATCTTGTGTAAAGCCATGGGGTTGTAATGTCTGCAAAGCTTACTTTCGGGAATTAAAAATTTTTCCATCAAGTGATAGAAACTTCCTTTAAGCTATTAAAAGTTATAGGAAAGGTCTTATCCCTGGACCTGAACCCAGGTGCACATCTGGATTGAAACATGCCAGGCTCAGAAGATCTTCGTAAAGGCAAGGACCAGACGCGTTCACACAGGAAACGAACCATGTTCACTAAGAAGCAACTGGAAGATCTGAACATCTTGTTCAATGAGAACCCATACCCAAACCCCAGCCTTCAGAAAGAAATGGCCTCAAAAATAGACATACACCCAACAGTACTGCAGGTCTGGTTCAAGAATCGCAGAGCAAAATTAAGAAAGCCAAAAGCAAGCCTATTCATCAAAAACAAGAACCTCCACAACCGCCAGTACCAGAGGGTGAGGTTACCACCAGAGTCAGCCTGAGAAACGCAGACACACTACCCAGATTGCCCAGTGCTGCTCACCCGATCGGCCTGGTGTACACGGGTCAACGAGTCCCCTCATTCCAGCTCATCCTGTACCCCAGCCTCAAGGTCCCTGCCGATGACTTCGTTGGCCACAGAATAGTCCATTTTGGCTGCTGCCAGGATCCTAACATATATTGCCTCTACCCCATTTTGGAATCCCAAGTTTGCGCTCCAAGCTTCCATGCTGGGTCTTCTGCCTGTTCATCTCTCCAAAGTCGAGAGAGATGATAAATACAAAAAAAATAGATGATAATTACAACACGTTAAAAAAAAAAAAAAAAAGTTATAGGAAAGGAAGTCATTTTCATATAATCTGGAATAGTGGCTATGCTATTTTGTATGCATTACAAAAAATTTTAAAAATGCTGTTTGCTTTTAAACAAAGCAGACTTTAAAAAGTAACGTTACTGTTAATGATTTAATAGAGGGTACACAGGGTTAATCTGTATTTATAGTCTGATCTTTTTTTTTTTTTTTTTTTTTTTTTTTTTAGTGACAGGGTCTCACTTTGTTGCTTAGGCTGGCACGATCTAGGCTCACTGCAACCTCCACCTCCTGGGCTCTAGTGATTCTTGTGCCTCAGCCTCCCGAGTAGCTGGAAGTACAGGCGTGTGCCACCATGCCTGGCTGATTTCTGTATTTTAGTAGAGACGGAGTTTTGCCACATTGGCCAGGCTGGTCTCAAATTCCTGACCTCAAGTGATCCTCCCACCTTGGACTCCCAAAGTGCTGGGATTACAGGCATGAGCCGCTGCGCCCGGCCTGCTTTACTATTAATGCTGATCTGGGCCCTTGATTAAATTTGCTGCTTACCTCATGCCTGTATTGCCATCTTATTTTCTTCCCAAACAATAGCCATTCCTTTTCTTTTTAGATGTACTTTCATTCTCTTTGGTGATGGTATTCTCAATGTATTTAATCTGAAGCAAATTTTCTCCTAATTCACCTGTGAGGAGCCTGCTACCCAGAAGGTTAAGAATTTTGTCCAAAGTCATATGGCAAAGTAATAGTATCAATGAAGACACTGTAGTCAATTTTAAAACATTTCAGAGTTTAGCCAGTAAATACTGAATGTAGTAAACCTCAGTTTGCACATGGAAAGCTGGAAATAAAACTTGTCTCCTGACCGCTGTGTTGGAGCTGGAAGGAATGTCCAACTTACACTATAGATGAGGAAACATGAAGCATGCCTGCAGCGACCACTGAGATATCTGCTTTGTCCTGTCGGTTCACGAAGCTCTTTTCTAGTGTTGTTTACTCTGAACTCAATTTTCTCTTTTTCTTTTTTTTTTTTTTTTTTTTTTTGAGAGAGAGTCTCTGTTGTCCAGGTCGGAGTACAGTGATGCAATCTCAGCTCACTACAACCTCTGACTCCTGGGTTCAAGTGATTCTCCTGCCTCAGCCTCCTGAGTAGCTGGGACTACAGGTGTGTGCCACCATACCTGACTAATTTTTTGGTTTTTTTTTTTAGTGGAGATGGGGTTTCACCATGTTGGCCAGGCTAATCTTGAACTCCTGACGTCTGGTGATCTGCCCGCCTCAGCCTCCCAAAGTGCTGGAATTACAGGCGTGAGCCACTGCCCCTGGCCTGAAGTCAATTTTCTTATTTGTTTGTTTGCAGTGAACAAGTAGTTAAGGAAATGAACAAGTAAATGAGGAAAGAGAATGTTTTTTTTTCCCCTTTGGAAACTATTTTCATGATGCTCACGTATTCATGAATGTTGAAAATTTACATTGGAATGAGAATGAGAGAGTATTGAGGCTGCACCATTTAATAATTCCACATGTATGAGAGTCCTTCCTCTTGATGCTTAATTTGTGGTTAGAGAGATCGACAAATTGAGCAAAGATGAGGTGACATTATTTCATAGTTTGGGGCTTCCATTCATCTGCTACTACTGGTTCTAAGAAAGACCTAACGTTCCTCAGAACTTTGATACCCCTCACCTTGCCTGTGTTCCAGGTTCCAGTAAACTCCTGGCTTACTGAGGGCAGTGTCTTGTCTTTCGTCCTCCGGCGGTGTCTAGAACGGTGCCTTGCTCTTAGGCACTGAGTCGGTACCCAACTGGCTCCTGGAATGTTTGAGTTGGAAGTCCCAGAAGTCTAGAATGTTTGGGTTCAGCAAAGAAGCAGATGCAAATTCAGGGAATCCAGGGCCTTTAATTCTTGTTCTGTTTCCAGGTGTCGCTTATATAAGGCATACGATGCCTTTTGAAGTAACTCCGTACCATTTGTTGCTATTGTAGCTCCTCTTGCAAATTCCTGCTGAGTACTTGGACGAAAATGATAAAAATCATAATGTACAGGAGGTGAAAGGGGCTAGAAAGTTGTTTTGGCCTTAGTTGAATTGATGAAGCTTCAGAACGTTAAGACAGGCTTAGAAGGAGTCAGTGTTCTGGGGCACAGTTGGGGTAGTGTTCAAAACTACTCAGGGCCCCGAACTGTCTCCAGATGGAAAGAAAAGCTCAGTGGGGGTTGTCAGAAGTTTAGTTTCTTTGGATGAATTTCTTTTGTCATTCCTTCATAGTTTATATTCAGCATACTGAATGTAATTGTATACAATTTTTTTTTTGTCTTTTACCAGCTAGAGAATTTGGGTGAAAATTTTACTGTTACAGATGTGCATTAGCACTGAATTTGTTCAACATGAAGAAAAATAACAGGAAAAAGACAAATATAAATGATTTTGCTACACAAGTTGTACGTTCTTCTGTTAGAATTATAATAAAGTCCCTGAAGAAGTATTAAAATCTGGCTGGGTGTGGTAGCTCATGTCTGTCATCCCAGCACTTTGGGAAGAGGGGGCGGCTGGATCACCTGAGGTCAGGAGCACGAGACCGGCCTGACCAACATGGTGAAACCCCGTCTCTACTGAAAATACAAAAATTAGCGGACGCCTATAGTCCCAGCTACTTGGGAGGCTGAGGCAGGAGAATTGCTTGAACCCAGGAAATGGAGGTTGCAGTGAACCGAGACCACACAGTTGCACTTCAGTCTGGGCGACAAGAGTGAAACTCCGTCTCAGAAAAAAAAGAAAAATTCTTTCAAAATGACTGTTTTAAAAACATTCCAAACAATATAATAAAAGCAAGCTTGTTATTTTAGTAAAACCAAAGATGTAACTTCAAGTTTTTATTTTAAGAACAAAAATATCATTTTGTTCTCATTAAAATTTTTACTTATTTATTTTTACTTGTTGAATTTTTTCTTACATAACCAGTTTTTGTGATCAACTAAGTCTGGACGATCTGCGTTCATGGCATTTCTTCCAAGTTATTTTATTCTAGAAAACTGCAAGGTGTCTTGTTCCATTTGACTGTTTGTAAATAGGAAGGGACCCTAGCTGCTTGGGAGGCTGAGACAGGAGAATCGCTTGAACCCGGGAGGTGGAGGTTGCGGTGAGCAGAGATCACACCATTGTACTCCAGCTTGGGCAACAAGAGCGAAACTCTGTCTCAAAGAAAAAGAAAAAAAAGTCAGTTCCATGTTATCAAGAAGAAAGAGAGGGCTGTTTTGGAAAACAGTAACATCATTGGCCTTTTCTTTGGCGAGCTGCAGAAATATTTTAGGAAGTAGCTGTACTTTTGCTCTTATAAACACAGTAAAATAGATACTGCCTCTTGTCCTTCTCTTGCCCTTATATAGTGTAGGCGATACTTTTCTATTTGGCTCTTTTAGAAGCTGGATTATCACGAAAGAAGGTGGGGTGTGGGTGTGTGTGAGTGGTTGTGGGGGTGTGTGTGTAGTGCATTATGAGTCAGCCTCTGTGGTTGTTTGCTACGTATTTTGTCCTTGTTTTGTATTGATTTCATATGTGTGTTGAGGAGCAATGCATCAGTAATGAATGTAACAGAAGAGCTGCATGTAACAGAAGAGCCAATTGATAGACCTTGACCCTGTTGGTCATTTTCTTTTTCTGTCACATAATAAGTCAATAGTAGGTGGTTGCCGGCTAGTTGTCACCGATGAGGATTCTAAAAATTTCTTGCCTTTTTCCTCATGGTTGCAAGATGGCCTAGTCATTACACCCACCCACTTTCTAGGAGGCAAAAAAAAAAAAAAAAAAAAGAGGAAAGGAAGGATCTGTATCCAAGGCTTTCCCAGGACTCTCCAATCGGCTTCTGCTAATATCTCATGGGCCACAGTTCTTAATTGCTCTCCCTAGCCCCAAGTAAGTCTGGGAAAAAGTTGTTTGTGGTCCAGCCCTTGTTGTTGAGGAAGGTGCGGGTGGTGGGGGGAGTATTAAATATTGGAATGGCTGTTGAATAAACCAATTCTGGATCTTCTAAAAACATTTAAAAACTAGAGTGAGGATCTCAGGAGTGTTTCTCCATTGACTTCAGTTAATCAGCAGGTCTTCGATGAGCACTGTTAATATGAACTATACCATAGTCCCCCCTTGTCCGTGGTTTCAGTTACCCATGATCTGAAAATATTACATGAAAAATTCCAGAGATAATTGATGAGTTTTAAATTGTGTGCTGTTCTGAGTACTGTGATGGAATCGTGCTATTCTGAGTAGTGTGATGGAATCACGTGCCATCCTGCTGCGTTCCACCTGGAATGTGAATCATCCCTTTGTCTAGGGTGTCCACATTGTATGGTTGTAGGTACAGGAAGAAATAGTGTGTATAAGATTTACAATACTATCCATGGTTTTAGGCATCCCCTGGGGATCTTGGAATATATCCTCCCTGGATAAGGGGGCGCCGCTATATTGTTGTTGGTTTTAGGGAGTTAGAGGGAGAGATGCAAATGTGTAATGTATTGTCTTATTAGAATGTATAGTCTAGTTATGGGAATACAAAACACAAAAGGTTCTGTGTAATTGTTTTTTATTTCCATCAGATTAGAAGAAGAGGGAAGCGCATTCATGGATACCTGGTATAATGGAAAAGGCTCACCTTGAAGAGAGGGGCCTTGGTTGGTCTAGGCTGGTGGCAGTGCAGTTGCAGAGAGAGAGGGAGAGCGGAGGAGAGAGAGAGAGAGAGAAATTAATGATTCCAGAGGGAAAGTGGGCTATAGTGGCTTCTTTAAATTTGCTGAAAAATATAAATCAAAGATAATTTTTTCAGCTTAAGAGATGAGGCAAACATTGGATATCAGAACCTGAAAGTCAGTGGGAACACAGGACAGTTTAGCCACTGTTTTTGTTTTTGAAGACGGAGTCTTGCTTTGTGGTCCAGGCTGGAGTGCAGTGGCACAATCTGGGCTCACTGCAACCTCCGCCTCCCGTGTTCAAGCAATTCTCTGGCCGCAGCCTCCAGAGTAGCTGGGACTAAGGCGTGTGCCGCCACACCCAACTAATTTCTTTTGTATTTTAGTAGAGATGGGGTTTCGCTGTTGCCCAGGCTGGTCTTGAACTCCTGAGTTCAGGCAATCCACCTGCCTCGGCCTTCCAAAGTGCTAGGATTACAGGCGTGAGCCACCATGCCTGGCCAGGGCAGTCTAGCTTTGAGAGAAGACTTTGTGACCCAGCTGGTC